GTGAATGGGGAGGCGAACTGAATGCTCAGCCTGCTCCCCACCCATTGAGACATGAATAATATAATCACCTAGATTTTATTCTCTTAATGTATTTACCTCCTAAGGTGATCTGAAATACATCAGAATATTCACACTTACTTAACAAAAACATCAAAATTCACAAATTTTATATAAATACATACATACACAGAGTTACATGTACAAAGATACGCATGTTAAATTTGGAAATTTGGTGGGGGAAAAAAACCCCAAACCAACAATAAACCTTTTCCTGGACTTAAAATACTTTCGGAAAATTCAACACTCAAATGTTTTCATAAAGACACGTAAAATAAAACAGTGGTGCAAAATGTTCCCTAACACATTGTAAGATACATACAGTAAACCTGGTAATTCTTGGATCCACAGATAAAATAATACAGACTGACATCTTGCCAAGTAAGTTCTAGACATACTCTTTAAAACACTTCACTGAGTCACAACAAAATGAAAATTTGAGGCCACAGTTGTAGACATGTAAATACACTCCTTGTTGACACCACAAGATAAAATACCTGTTCTTTGTCCTCAAAAGAGAAAGCTGGGAAGCTGATATAATTTACAGTGACCATGACAAAATTCAACAGAATTTTAATGGGATTGGCCATTGGCACTGTAACCAATTTACTCAAAAAGAATCTATAAAGATCAAGATTGGTATGTCTCAGAATTCCAGAAACTCAATCTCAAAACAGATAGTCTTAAAAAAGAGGATACAATTCTAAAAAAAGGAAACTGTATTCAGTAAGTCATAATACAAAAGTTGCAGACAGATCTCTAAGTTTCAGAAGATACATTGAAGATCTTCTGCCAGATTTTACAAGTTATTCCAGAACCTCACAGTTCTTAATTTCCAATAAAGCCTAAACCAATATTTATATTTAAAAACTACCAAGAATATATTTCTGAGTATATATAATTAACAGACATAATTTTCTTATGCTGTAATTTTCAACTCTTCATTAGAAAGTAAAATAGCTTCTGATTCAAAAGGCACATCCTGTGCACTCCCGAACTTTCGAAGTGGTGAATCTGAATAGGAATTCTCTATCATAGCAAAGAGTTAAGCCTGATTAAATGAAACCCAAGTAAGATTGTTCTACTGAAAAAAGTGATGTATTTTAAGTATGCTGGTACTTTCGAGTACCAAGAGAAAAGCATTAGTGACAGTTTACATGGGTTAAAGTAATGCATCACAATTTCTTTCAGCTGGGCATTTCTTATTAAAAGACTTAAGTAAAAAATTAACTTACAGGTTTTGTTGTTACTCTAATAATTTGCAGATTTGAGCAAACAACTAAAATACATCACATTATTTATAGCTACTTATAGTTTAAATTTATTACAATACTTCACAGTGCATTAGTCATGCCTTATACTTATTTGCAAAAGGAGGATTTTCAAAATATCTCAGTGCAGTTCTCCGTTACTCAAATTTTACTGAAAAAGGCAGCAAAACCTGTTTTTTTAATAGAATTATTGTGTTTATGAATTAACGTAACTGGAATTAAACTAACTAAGAACCTGCTCTAATTGCTGTTCAAGTTTCATAATATGTATTAAAATGATTGCATCCAAAATTCCTAGCCACAGTTTTATAACATTTAACAAACCTAGTGTTCACAGCAGAGTATTTCTCCTGCCCAGAGACCCCTGCAACGAATTGAACATGTCGCTGATAGTGCTTTATGAATGTGGACTGTGATGACTATGCTTGTGTTTTACAAATCTTTTCAAAAGATAAAAGGAGTCTTTTGGCCCATGATACAGCTGATCAGACAGAATGTGCCATGGTACCTTCTGGAATGAAAGCTGAGAGGAGATATTTTATTCTCACCTATTAGCAAGATGGATAAAGGAAAAGAAATCTTCGCTTCCAAATCATACGAAACATCAAAGGACAGCCTACGAAGCAATCTTCTAGGCAATCCTTTCATGCCTACCAGCAATTAGAGCATTCAACAAACCTGTCTGCTTCCAGCTGAAGAAAATGTTAGAGCAGGTGCACTTCCTCCGAACAATGCCACCGCGCAGCCGAGGAGCCAGCAGCAAACCCCTCAGCCCGACAAAAAGGTTTCTTTTTGTTCCTTTCTACACATTGCTCTCTAGAGGGCTGTTTTTCCCATTTGTATCACACCTACATAACTGACTCCCCAGGGATATTACCAAATATATATTCACTAGACTTTTCTTCCTTCTCTTACTTACAGAGTGGACCTGTTTGGGTTGTTTGATTTTATATAATTTTTTTAATGACTCAAAATAATAACATGTTAGAACTAGAAATGATACCACCAGAATAACTAGAAAACATATTTCATAATCCTTTTACTATTAATGTTAAAACTTTAAAATATTGCTAAGAAGAAACACAAGACTGTAGTCTGATAGATTCTTTCACACAGGATTTTGCATCTCAGTACCTAAGCACTTAAGATGATCCATCATGTCAAAGATTGTTCATAAAACCTTATTTACCTACATAAACATGGGGTTTGATTTGCATTCTTTGCATCATAGCCCTACTACTCAAGGTTTCCTCTTTTGAACAACTGAAAACAGGCAACACAAAACAAATGACATCTTTAGGGCAATGGCATTTTAAAAGTCTTGTTGCTTTTATTGTTATTTGTTTATTATTTGTTACTGTTTCTGTTTCAGGAACTATTTGTGTTAGTACTGTAATATTATCGAGGGAAGAATAAACTAGGATGGAAAGTTATGTCAACACTGATTTCAAGATTTGGTAAATTATGAATGTCAGATCAAGCGGAAAGAAAACAATAAGGCTGTTGAACATATTGACTGCATGACTGATGCCCTGCAAATTACTTTTTATTCTGATCTTAAAAATGAATAGCATCTAAAG